AAAAAATTTTTTTCCCTTTTTTGGGGGAGGGGGGGCCCCCCCCCCCCCCCCCCCCCCCCCCCTCAATTTTCGCGCATGGTTTTTCTATTACCGATCAGGATCTAGCAACGTCCCTCGGCATTTCGGAACGCCAGTTGGCCAAGCTTTTGCGGAGGGCGAAGGATTGCCAATCTATGAACAGGGTCCTTGTTTCCAGCGGGGTCGCGCTGGGAGAGATGATACCGTGAGTCCAACCAGAGTCCAACCAACGTTGTCCGCATACTTCCGTCTTTAATGGAAGACAGTCAATTATCTGGTTCTCAACGCGATTGGCCGCCGAAAACAAATCCCTCACGAACCAGAATATCAATGATAGATGCGGGACGATTTCCAGCGGTGAATCCACAAGATGCTGTCGATGTTTTAGTTACGACCTTCTTGCTGGTGGAAACGCCTCAAGAATTTCCCACCACCACCATGGCTGCAATTGCGTGTTGAAAGCTCACCTTGCACTTCTGTTGCCCGCTCTGTCGGTGACAGGGGGGCTCAATCGTGTGAGGACATTTTGAGACGATTGGACGCGGAGGCATCGCTGGTCGGATTGCTCGGAACCCTCAAACCGCAGGAGGAGGAGGTGGTGAGTGTCCTCCTCGCCGCTTTCTCTCTCTCTCTCTCTCTCTCTCTCTCTCTCTCTCTCTCTCTCTCTCTCTCTCTCTCTCTCTCTCTCTCTGTTGTTGTTCACACAATCGGTGTGATAGTCGAACGCATGTGTGGGGCATCTCGAACCGCGGCAGGGGCGCTTGCATTGAGCCAGTCGAGTAGGAGGAGGAGCGCAAGGCTTTGTTGCTTGAAAACCTTATCACATCACGCTTTCAGCGCACTAGAGACTCACTTTTTTGCCATTTTTTTCGCACACTACGTTGCCGTACATTTAACCTTACTTTGGCAGTGTTTTTCAAGTGACATTATTTCTTCTCACGCACGCATTCTGCTTCCTGCAACCCTTCTGTCGCAACAAATGGTCCGTCGGTCACCGTTGGGATTTGAGTGTGGTCAACCAAGACGTATGTGGCAGGGGTGGCAAAACGCCAAGTTTGTTTGAAATTTTGCAGCGTTGTGGTCAAATCACTTGCGGATGTTTCCTTCACGCGCGTCACACTCAACACACCGGCGCTGGAATGGGACCAACACACACTCCAAATGTGCCTTGCAGCGTCTACACACCACTGCGGAATGCACGAGGGAGTCTGTGTGTGTTTCTTTTTGTTTCATGCACAAGGTTGTAGTACCGGCCGCCAGCATGTGTGTTCCCACGATTCGCGCCGAAACCGTAAGCGCGTCATCCCTCCCATCCAAAGAGCACGACGGCCCCAGTGAGTAGAAGGCAGGGCTCATTTTTGTCATCGCTTTATGTTGTGTCCGCTCCCCGCGTTTTCCACCGGCAACAACAAATAGATCGTCCACCGCTACGGGCTGTTCGGCCGAAGAAGAAAGTCTACGCCGGCGGTGGCCGCGGTCATGGGGGTCAGCCGACAGTACGTCGGGCGCGTTCATCGGTCCGCGCTTGAAAAGTGAGACAGGATCAGACAAAACGAGACAGCTGCAGCTCTCCCTTGTGTCTACGCTGCAGGCAGCATACGCCTCTGTCTGTCTACAATTTTTCTATCGAATCAAGCCTTTTGTTAGCGTTGGTCGTCTGATTAATTCAACAAGTGGTGTCTTCCGGGAGCGAGACTACTACTGACTGTAGGGTCGACCAGGTCTGGTTTAACAAAGGAATGAGTTGCAGCGAGGGTTGGCCTGTTCGCCTGGGTGGTGATGTTTGGGTTTTGGGTCCTCATCTCATCTGTCACATATTCTAGAACCGGATACATCACTTTTCGTGGACCACGCTCTACTCACGTGCACGACCGTTGCCTCTTTCTGGCTTTGGTATTTCGCAGGATGCGAGCGTCTTTCGAAGCAGACCAACAACCAAGGTTTCACCCCAAGACCATGGGCACCAATGCCGGCTCCGCCGGCGGCGGCACCGCGTCAACCGCCGTGGCTAGCCGCCACCACCGCTAGGTAGCGCGCTGTCGCGCGCCTGACCCAATCCTGGATGAAACGATCGGAGTTCAAGCTTTGAGGAGGCGTGGTAGTGACGGAACAGAATAGCGTGTCTACATTTTCTTATGTACGCATGACACGGTGTCGTCAATATGTACAGAACACGCCACAGCGCAAGAAACTTTCATTCTGCGCGCGACCCTCGCGCTGTATTTGGTCTGAGGGTCAGCCATGATAGGTGGTGCGGGCACGGCTCAAGTTCTTATATTTCGTGAATATCGATCTCTCAATTCCCCCGAGGCCAACTTATTGAGTGTTGGCGCGTGTTGTATTGGTTGAACATCAGCTTAAAAGCAACCCTTTTGATGCTACTTTTCTTGGAATGCTTGCATACGATATACTTCGAAGTATTTCTTTTTGTGTATCGTGGGATCGAGAGAGAGATAGAGATGGAAAGATAGAAAGAGAGAGATGAACCAGAGAGAGAGAGGGAGAGAGAGAGGTGTAAATATTGTGTGCGTGCTTCGGCGTGGTTTTTATGTGTGCCAATGTTTCTGGCGAAGCTTGTTGTCCCACCAGAGCGCTATTTTTCATGTGCGATCGATAAATGCGAATTCTGTTCACTTGGTTGTATGCATGTTCGGGCAGGGCAAGTTATCCCTCCTGCGACTGAAACTCGCACGTCGCAAGTAAGCGAATGTGCCATTTTGGCATTCATATTGGCATCCTGCTTGGCGGGACACGTGTGCCACCTTGACAATGGATGGAATCGTGGAAGGCACAGCGGGCACCACAGCAACTTAAGAGTTTCTTGAAGACACAAGAGTCTCGAGAAATTTTCGAAACGTTTTTGGCGTGCAACAACGCTTTCATGCTCATGCACTCGTTTCCTGTCCCGCACCTCGACGATGCCCACTCTCTATTGTGTTAGGCTATTGCGAGCATCTTCGCCCAGCAAAACCTCAGGTGCGATGTAGTCTATGTTTTCCCCAACTGCAAATTGGGGCTTCTAGCCGGGCTAAAATTTCGACCACGGTCAAGACGTCTTGGACTACTATGCAAACTTGTACATCATTTCATGGTATGGATGCAGGAGTGATTTCCGGAGACCGTAAATCACTTCCGTCATTGGAAGAAAAACGCCACAGCAGTAGTCTATCTCATAACGTCCGCAAGCTTTATCCTTGGCTTTCCATCAGGGTTGCGACCACCCTTGACGGTCTCCACGGGCCGCTGCCACCGCTGGCAGCAGATGACCCACGCGCAGCAGATCTCTGGGATTTGATCGAAAAGATTTCGAGAGCCCCTTTTTTGGCCAGGGAGGAACCAGCCACGGAAACTATCACCGTCCTAGTCTGGTCGATGTTTTTCAATCTTGAGAAATGCGTGGCCATCGCGTAGCCCGAAGACGCAATAATGTTCTGGGTGCCAGGCGTACAGAGAAGCAGCGCGTGCGGGAAACAAATTGCGAGGTAGGTTTACGCGTTTCTACGGTATATGCTCGAGGGCGATTCTCGAGGACGGTCCTTGCCGAACCCAACGTTCGAATTGTTTCTCAGTTTATGGTTTGGGTTTGACCTTGCAGATATGTAATGGCTTGAGACGACCCCTACCGCAGCTGCCAGAAACCGCAGGTTTTTTGTTGCGGAGATCCGGGTCTTCTAGCTACACGATTGCGCGAGCGAGTGGACACGACGGAAAGGCCAGAGTCCAACGAAAGCAATAACACAAGCCCGTTCTCACCATTCCCAACCAAGGGATAGTTTGGGTGCCTCGCCCAAGCCGTGTTAGCTCCCACGCCAACACCACTGCGACCCAAGCCAAACCCAGGGTACACAAGGCAGTCGCCTGGTCGCCGAAACGCAGCAAGCATCGAATCAGGTGTCAACCTTTGGAGAACCTCAGCATTCCACGCGGTTTAGTGTCGTTGTCGAGGAGTCATCCGTCTGTTCCCAAGTTGGAATTTTTCTGCCGTAGATGGATTATTAATGTTTGAAGACAACGTATGCATGTGCACCAGGTAGACAGATCGGTCTGCTTCGATTCCATGCATTGCATCTAGAAATATCCCGAGAGGCATTTCCTGCTAGCACGGCATGACGCATTTTCTCTCGTGACAGCAGGTCAGAAGCTCTCATGGTACCTTCGTGCGACTTCAAACCGCTTACGCTTGCCTGTGCTCCCCTGTAGGACAGCGAATGCCTGCTACAAGACTGAGAAAAAAGCAGCCTACTTTTCTGTGCCTGCAGCGAGCATTGTGCTTTTCGAACGCGCTTGACAAGTTTGCGTGCATTTTTTACCCAAACAAAACACGCAGATGCCGGACACAGATAAGTCTTTTGCGCTTACGGGGAACGGCCTGATGTCTATGGAGAGTGATTTCGACAGGGGTGACCGCGTGGAAACCAAAGAACGATCGACACATGGTGTTCCGCACCACGCATGGGGTAGGACCGCTGGTTCAGAGAGAGGAGTCAAGAAGAAATCGCTCAAGAAAGTACGACGCACCTGCAACCACATTCTCTTCTTGGCCTTCGAGTAAAAGTCCCGCCCAGTAGCTGGAGCCTGTCCAAACGTATTTTTCGGGAGTACACCCCAGATAGACAGGTGTTTATCGTGTTTGTGTTTCAAGCCGACTGGGCACACTAACTGCGGTTTTTACCTCGGTGGGCTGACAGGTAGGTGTGGATCGAAGTAGGTGGGGCTGGGTATGGGCAGCGCCTTCGGACAACAACTGCCAGCTGGGGTCGGCCGCAGTAGTTTCTGCTACAACAACCGTTATTGGCAACTGCACGAACGCGCGAAGTAGCGGACTGCGGACTACTTGGGAAGAACAGGCAAAGTTGATGTGTGAAACGACTAGGGGTGAGAGGCACCGCGGTACAATAATGAATGCCGATGCTTCGGGTGAGCACGGGTGCCTGGAAACGCTTTGAATGTGGCGCTGATGTACTTTCAAAATTATCCCCTTTCCTCGTCGCCAACTCGTATCGAACATGCCTCCGTGGAAGTCTGGAAATATCTCGTGATATAACGTTAGTGAATCGAGTGGATCGCCAGCATTGAGTGCCTCTTGAGATGGAGACTTGCCGGCTTCTTCGTCCCACCGTGAACTGTGAACGTTCTCCGGCGCACGCGTTACTCACCTGGCGTGAAGCTTTGTCGATGAGGTGGGAGATGTTCACGCCCACGAAAGAGATGCTCATCACCTGCGTAGAGGTTTGCCGAGGGCTTTACTTATCCACTTTGGACTCAAGTCTCTCACGGTCTATCCATCATATCGGGAAGCAAAATCAAGTCGTACATGGCGATGATTTAGGGCATTAATAGGTGGGGGGCGCTGGAGGGGCGCAGTACTTGTGGCACAGAGCGATAGTGTACGCCGGGGGCATCGACGCTTGACATTCCCACCGGCATTCGGCGTGCACCCAAGCTACAACATGTCACCTATTGCTCGTGCCACGTACGTGTGTGCTATTTCCGTCCGGAAGTTGGACAAAGAGTACCTATAAATTCCCTTTTACAATCGCTGCACATTCTTTCATCGCGCAAGAGTTGAGGTAGTTGGGCGCAACGCGCATCCACGAACTTGCGCCTTTGTCGAAACATACCCGCGTGTGGTGCGGCGAAGATTTCACACCTGAACTGCACAACATGTGGACGAGGAGTTCTTTCTATAACAAATGCGCGACTTGGATCCATTGAGTAACATTAAAACGGTCCACATTCAGTACACGAAGAGTCGGTTGGCTCACCGTGAATATCGCACATGCGGAGCACAAGATATTAATACCGCTGATGATCTGCCGGGGGTTCGAGAAAACGAACGACGCCACCCCCAGTACAACGCCAGTCGACATGCCACCAATGGCCAGCTTTGTAACAACTCCCCGCTCCTCTGCGATAGTTTTCATCTTCGTCACCATGCTGTCGGCGGCCAAGAGCTTCGCAACACCGAAAAGCACCGGGGTTTGGAGTAGGGTCAGAAAAAGAACAGGAGTCTGGGGAATGTAACAGGTAGTGGTTCAGGTAGCCTTAGAGACGTATCCTAGCCCTCCCCGACCTACTTCAGAGTAAATCAGCTCATCGTACTTACACCGAACGTTTACGCTGGGGTAGCAGGAACGAGGTGGACCTCGACGGCCTAGCCAACGCATCTCTGCTACTATGGAGGTACGTCAGCTTCGACATCAAACTGGCGGGTAGCATGCAACCGATCAGGCCACAAAAGCGGCAAACAACGCGGTCGGAGAGTGCTTGGCGTGATAGGCCGTGGGCAAGGGCTTCGGCATGTGAGGAAATGCACCCCCCCAAGCCAAAATGAACAAGTCTGAAAGGATAGCTTATGGTTCAGAATGATAGTGAAGGCGGTCGACAGCTGGGGGTAAGAAGCGCACCGAAGGCTGGCGAGGAGACTGACAGACTGACGAATCTACTCAGCGAAAGGCGAGGTATATATCTCGCCCAAATAAATGCTTGGTGCTTTGCTCGTTCAAAAGCGTTGTTGTTCCAGGTCTATCATCTACTGTTATCCCAGCTAAGTGGCAAGATAGAAGAAACAATGACCAGCTTTGTGTTTAGCATTGAAGCACTCTGGATTCAGGCAGACGAAACAACACGGAATGAGAAGGATTTCGATCGATTCGGCGAAGCTCTCAATATGATGCCTTCAGAATTTATCACTGTACTTGGGATCAGCGTCTACCTTGCTTTCAGAACTTTGAGGCAGGCAACATGCTACCTTCGAGATCTCATGACTTTGATGTTTACTAGAGCCTCGGCAAATTGGAAGACAAACCCAGCCACAGATATCTAAATGTTGCTGGAACTGAGACAAACTCCCTGTGTTTGAACCTCCTCTGATTCTTCACGCTAGATCATAATTATCATCGACATGTGTCCAGCGCTGCCTCGGCTAACGGTTGTTTCAGCCAAGGTCCGATATGAACTGTGTATTCAAATCGGCATGGGCATTCCACTAGTTTCATTGGCATCTGGACAGCGCTGTCTTCGAGAAAAAGTCAGGCCCAATATCCCCGCGAACTGGCATTTTCTATGTCGCGTCCGAATCTCAAAATGAGTTCCCTCGAGCCCTGGGTGCGGGTTCCCCGAAATCGCTTGGCATGTCATATATATTCGGAAAATGCTGTCTCTATCCGTAAATCCATAGTTTGGGGACGGCGGTTTTGGAACAGACGTTCCCCTGTAGATGGCGGCATACATCTACCCAAAGTTCCGCAGCCAGAGTATTCTCTGGGAAAATCTAACTGGAGCAACAGTGGAGTGTGTTTGGAGGCGGGCAATTTGTTGTCAGAAGCGCAGAGAAGAAAGGTTGACTCAAGACCTTGGGTATATTAACGAGTGAGCGGGGCATGCTAGCCCATGCACAGCAGAAGGGGGACTGCCCCTCTACCAACACACACCGCCAATGGCACACGAAACCCCCTAGATCTCCGTAGATCAGTATCGAGTGCTGAGTACCCCCAAACAGAGCGATTTACCTGGACGTTGAGAAGCGAAATCGCCGTTGGAACAGGCAAAGCCGGGTGGAAACAACCCGAAAGTGTTTCGTGGGTGAACGGTGGGAACGTTGAGTTTTCCCGGAGCACTACACACCCACCTGGTTTGGAAGACTATCTACCCAGAGCTCCACCGCAAACAAGGCCGCGCCAAGTCCCACCGGCGGAACAATGGTGTACCACCCTTGAATGAGGCCCATGCTCATGAAGGATTGGCCCTCTCGTGCCATCGCCGTTGTGGTGACGAAGACAACTCCACTGACGCCAGTATAGATGCTGTCCAGTTTTAGACATTTCGGAAAGTGCACAGAGAAGGACTGTTTTGAACACCCTTACACTTACTTCCCCCCCCCACGACGCTCCCAGACTTTCGTTTGGACGACCGGCGGTCACGTCAACCCCCTTACTCATACTCATGCGGGCGCGACATCATGAGCACCGCCGCACCCTGAGGGCTTTCCACAAACACTAGTGTCGACGCACGGCAACATTCATTACGGCCTGTGGAGCAAAAGACGAAAAAGAAGCTCTTACATAAATAGGGCGCTATCATTTACTCCGGAGTACTTCGAAATATGTTTACTGCACCATCCTGGGTTTGCACAGGGTGACTTATCTCCCCCCCGCCACGGTGCTTACTGGTGCTAGCTGACTAGTCTAACGGGTAATTTGTCTAACAAAGGATACACGCACGGGTTCGATCCCAGATGGATCATCACCAAATGCACCATTAGCTCTTTTTCAGGCAACGCCTGGCGAGGTCCGTCCCCAGAGATCCCTACTTCTACACTAACTAATAATGGCACGTACGTATAAGCATGTACTGCAGAATGCACACACACGTACCTCGAAGCCGTGCTCAAACGCTGCCAAATCACCGCTCTTCTCACTCGCCGGGTCGTAAGAGGTAGCTGCAAAAACCTCTTGATATCCCAGACCAGGAGCACTGATAGTAAAATATTTGCCATGGCCACTATCGCGTAGAGAATCACCAAAACATCAGTCAGAACACAGCTCGGATTCCCGAAGGGATCGGTACTGGAGAATCGTTCATCATCGCACAGGCATGTCTCGTCCACAGCGGGATTGCCCTCTCCAAGACAGGCACCTAACCCACCCCATAAGGGATGCCTGCAGGAATAAATACAACCTTCCGTGGGCATTGAGTGCGGTGAGGCCGTGGTAGCACTCCCCCACGCGCGCACGCGCACACACGCTAGCTAGCAGCTAGCACACGCTCCTCAATACACGGCAGATTAGCGGTGCAACTATTGACCGTACATACGCGAACCGGAACTTGCGTATTAATTGCACCGCACCTTGTCACCCTGTTCACTCTGCTCTCTGTACTGTGCACTTGCGGCTCGTGGCTCGTGGCTCTGGTTCTCCTGAGGCTTTAGCGATGAGGTTTACAGCTTTTGGTTTCCAGTTTCTCTGTCTCTCTGATGGACTGAACAAAATACCCCATTAGCAGATCGTACTCCTCCAACCAACCTGTACCACCGAACGCACGTCTCGGCAAGTGTCTGATCGCGACCGTCTCGATCCCTTTTTTGCAGCATATCGAACAACAGAATACCGTACAGTCCAGTTGACAACAACGGCCAGCGCCATGCTTCCCTTCCCAGCCTGACAGCCGGAATCAATCCATTTTTTGACGCCGAGCCCTGGACCCTGTACAGGATGTAGCGGCCGAACTTCAAACGGCAGCAAATCGCGCCGCAATTCTGCCGCTCACCCATGCTGCTGTCACCCTTGTATCCTGTACCACATCACCATCCCTCCCCATAGCAACAACACAACTTGTTGCGGAACTCATTGCTCTGAGTACGAGGTCCCGGGTGTCTGGGATCGTTCATCACCACAGAAAGAACAGATTCGCTGCACCGTGATCAGGTCGCGTTGTGCGGCGAGGATTGACCCTCCTCGTATCCTGAAAAGACTCCACCACATCCCGTTCGACTGTGGGTATATCTCGAATAGGTAGTCTTCCTGGGTGTGTATTTATTTTTTCTTCCCTGACTCAACTTTCTCTTCTCTGCGCTTCCGACAACAAGCTGCCCGCCTCCAAGCGGATCTTCTTGTGCATCTTTTCCCTGCGACACAGGTTTGTTTCCAGGTAATCCCTCCCCACACACCGGAGCAACAGCAAAAACAAAGGTATCCGCCACGAGCTGTGTCCATGCTGCGTCTTGTGTGTTGATTAAGACTGACCAAGGAGGCTGTAGGACGCTGAGAAATTCCGGATGCGAGAGTCTGGAACAGCCTAAAAGAAAACCTCCGCGTCTCCTGGGATTAATTCGTGTTTGTGTGCCCCAGGCGCAGGTTTGGTTTACCGATGATCCCTCCCCACACACACACCTAGCAACAGAAATGATAACCGTATGGATGTCCACCACGAGCTGTGTGTATGGCTCCCTTCCCTCGCCAGTGCTGTCTTGCCCCTCCCAGCGGTGTTGGATGTTTAGCTGAGTGCTTCCTCTGTTTCTCTTGGTTGGCACCAAGCAACTACAAGTGTGTGCGCTTGGGAGATCTCGATTTTTGTTCCTTTACTACTGTACCTCTCCAAAACTCCCCGGGGAAAGGAGTAAAAATATCCCATGATTTTGGGGAGAACAAGAGAAATGCCTGTCAAGCACGGCCATCCGTTGTCGGAGCGCGACGATACCGGTGTGACGAAGAGTGCCCTATTTTTTTCCCTCCTCACAAGGGAGCAGATCGTAAATCGGTGCTCTGTAGAACTCGTGCTGGTCGAACAAAGGCGGTTCTTTTCGGACGGTCCATAATTAGGCGGAAATTGCAGAAGGGCCCCTACATCGCGTTGGTTGGAAGAGCCCGATATATAGAGCATTATTTTCCCTCGGGGGGATGAAGGGAAACAAATATCGCGCTTCGCGTTCCGCGGCTCATTGAAAGTGTCCCCGTAGTATGTGCCAAACTTGCTCTGTGCACATCCGGAATCCAGAGTCCCACAAGGACCGAGGCGGCCCCACATTCAAGGGCCAACAGTTGAGTAATTCTACAACAAAATTCTACAGCAAAGCTTCATTTAGTCCGGTTGCATATCTACATCAATGTGTACCCCAACATCGCACAATGTCCACCGCATCATGGCTCCACTCCCTTTTCGTCGCCACCACCGTCAACAACCGCCGCCGTCGCCGCTTGAAGCTGGAGCACCGATCGCGCCCATTCCAAGGCATCTCCCGACACCGGCACATGCTCGCCCTCGGGGAGATCGCCAAGAAGAATTTTCCCGTACCGTTCTCGCCGCAGTTCGAGGACGGGGTATCCCGCGTTCGCTAACATCCTTTCCGGTGGTGGGGTTTTAGAAGGCGGAGCACGGGGAACGCGCACACGACGGGAACCAAAAGCAGCAGAAATGAGTCAACAAAACAATCTTCTTTGGTTGAAAGACAGTCACGTTGTTCTCATCCTTAAATGTCCCTCTCTCTGTGTGTGTGAATTTGTACAAAACAAGAAACCGCACGATTTTTCAGGCCCCGATAAGAGCCATTCTGACCTTCGGACCATGCGGTTCTTCCCTTCTCGCACCACCACGCCCACATCCCGCCCGCTTATCGCCGGTACGTCCGCCTTGTAGACGCCGTCTGCGGTTGTGATCCCTTCTTTGAGAGCCGTTACCAGCGAGTCTCCCGGCTCCTCTCCCTCCGGAGGCACGTCCACCGAGGCCACGTACTCGCGCTCTACCTCAAACCTGCAAGATAAGCAAGTCCGCGTACGTAAGCACGTAGCGTCCAGCCAAACACCGCGCGTAAGTGAGTGACGACTGGCTATGGCTGCCAGACCGCATGGGCCTTCCTTCGAGCACAAATTCAAATAAAAGTCTCTACAAGGACCTCCAAGCGTGAACGAACATTTTGAGTACAAGGCCACGTCCAGAACAAAGAAAACACCGGAAAAGGACGCCGCTGTCCAGAGGTACTACTAACAAAAACGGGTTTCCGGCAATAAACGGGATGGATGCAACTTTCCGCGGTTCAGATGACAATTCAGGTCCAAGGTAAGCCACGCCTCTTGAAGAGACCTCCAGGCTTCCCCCCGAAGACAAGTCCCAACAGACCTCCTGTTCATACTCGCTGCTTCATAAGTGTTATCTAGGTCGCGAGGCATCGAGAGACAATTGCGATACTCATATCTTACATCCAAAAACGGCGAAGAGGCCTGTGAGAGTCGGCTCTAACCTCGGGTTTAGCAGCCTGTGCGTGAGAGCTCCATCGCTGCTCAGCAACAGAAGGCCGCTGCTGTCTGCATCCAAGCGTCCCACCGGGTGGTGCCTGGGTGTTTCCGATGCGGGAAAATGGCCGTGGGTTGTTTGAGAGAACGAGGGCAATCGATGTCTTTAAAGTGGTGTTGTCGCCCGTTGTTACTTTGGTTCCAACAAGGCTAGCTGCATCTACGCACAGCCGGTACTAGCTGTCGACGATTACTACGACAAACACGGAGGCCGTGCACGGTGTGGTATGAGGCGAATGCCTCGCTGCGGAATGATCTAGTGCACCTGACCATTCTTGCTCTCTCTGTCCTCTCCCACTACGCTTGCTCTTCCCTCACCCCACCCCACCCCCCTTGTCCCCATTTCCTTCGGTCTCAACCCCACTTTTCGTTGTCTCTCTTCTCGTGCCCCTTCTCATGTGCCTTCCTCGTTCTGACTCGGACACCCTCTTTGCGGAATTTTCCCTCTCCGTCCCACGACCTACAAGTCCCAATGCCTCACTCCGTCCTCTCTAGAGCGCGCTACGGTCTCTCACTTGAGCAGGAGCGACTTGGGAAGCACATCGGACAAGTCTTCCCTGTCCCAGTCGTCGCTCAGAGTCGTTATTACGCCTTTCGGCTTGTGGAAAGCCACCAGAAGCGGGACGGGCCCGTGCACTTCTCCGTTCACCTACGTTTACGAAGCGAAACCGCACACAGCCAGGGCATGATTGCAGTGGTGTGGTGTTAGCAGCGGCCGGGACAACTACTTTCGATCGTGTCAAATACTTGTACATCCACCAGAAACGCTACCGGGCGATGACGACATAAAACGACCACCAAATCCCACCAGGGTTTCCGAAAACGGAACGTCCCACGGGACACTAGTAGTAAATGTCAGCCATTACATCACCCGCCCAACCCATTATCGTCGCAATGGACCGCTGATCTGTGTCCTTCCGAGCAGGGAAACACTGCCAATCTAGATGATAGCCCCAAGCGAGGACAGCTGGTGTATCTCCAAATTGCCACACAGTGCAAGGTACCCACCTCTATTACGCAGTCCACCGGAAGCTTTGTCTTCGGAGACTTGACCACGGCACCATCTACCTTAACTCGACCCCGCCGCACCAATGTGTCCACCTGTAACGAGCATTATCGACGAAAGGGCTATTTGGTGGACAGCAGTGCAAAACACCAGCCGAAAACAGTCATGATGTCGACGAGTGTCGATCGCGTGCAGACCAACGTATGCAACTCATATAGCTCCCACATCATGCCAGAGAATACTCAAAGTGTAGGTTCGAGTCCTTCGCCTTTCTCTGCCCATTCCGACCCATGTTTCCCGTCAACCGACAACCCGACGCCTTCGTATTCTGGCCGCCTTCTAGGTGGAAACACGCTGAGCGTCTTGAGCTCTTCGATCGAAAGACCTGCCGAAGGACTCGGAAAGTCTCTAGTTAGCGATTGTACCAAGTAACAACAACACGTCCACAGTTTCCAAGCAGCGCTACGAGGGCATCACCGCTGCGCTGGCCGACTGGCAAAAGGATGCAACATGAACACCGCCCGAGCCGAGTGGCGCACCAACTACTCCAAACCGGACTGATTGGTACAAAGGTGTGGGTGGCGCATACCTCACTTCTGGTCCCGATCGCTCTGTCCGCCAGCAGCTTGGAGAGCCTCAGCAGCCGTGCACCGCCGCCTCCTGGGGCACTTCTACTTGCGGGTGATGGTGGTGGTGGTGATGATGGTTCGCCTTGATTTGGCTTGCTCTTCTTCCTCTTGTTTCTGACGCTGCCACGCTCACGGGCCGTTCTCAACGATCTCAGATTCAGCTTAGCCTCTGTTGCTGGGAGCGCCCCTGGGTTGTCGTCGTCCCCGTCACGACCACCACCACCACCCGTTGACGCTGCGCTAGCGTCCCCAGCACCAACGCTACGACTGCTTGCCAGACGACGAGTAGAAGGAGCGGTGCCCCCACAAACCCTTTCCGCGTACATGAATCCTGCTTGCGATTCTACGGAGGTTCCCACCCTCGCGCTTGTCCAAGGGCCGCGGCTGAAGTATCTGATAGATCGACAGGCGTGCATACCGGCCCCAGCTGTGTCAATGTCTCTGCTGCAGAACGGCCAGGCAGCGGAGGGGCCGCGGAATCTCAGTCTCCTCCCTTTTTGCTTGGCATCCAGCCGGCTGCTGGAACTAGGGTTCTCACCATACGAACGACAAGGACGACAGCAGCAGCAGCAGTAGCCAAAGGAGGACAAGATTCGGATTTGCCAGACCGAAAAAAAACCTTGGAACGTGGACCGACCAGGTTGTGAATAGTTGAGTGGCGAAGCGGTTCAACACTGAAATTGATTAATAAATCTGAAAGGCATGAAGAAATTTCTTGCCCCCGATTGCATGTCTCGTAGACGTAACAACGGTACATAGGTCGAAAAGTTGTTGGTTGTTTACGAAACAAAGGTGATAGTGACCACCTACTGTGTTGTACTTCGCAAGAGGTATTTTGCTACAAGTTTGTTTTGGTGGACAGCATGAAGCCCATTGACCCTTGTGCCGCTCTTGTGTCATTTCTGTCCCCGTCTATGTAGACGACTGATTGTGCCTGTGGATACCGGTGAACATAAGCACCGAATCAAGCCGTTGGACCAGTCAGCGGCTGACTCGTCTAATGTAGTTTGATTTCGGTTGCTCGTGGGGTCCGAATGACCCGTTACTAATGCTTCCAACGAGAGAGTCGCTCCCCTACTCAATTGCTGGTTTGATTTCAGATCCTAAAGGATACCCTCAGGCACCCGGCCCAATCCGATTGATTCTGAGTGGTGGCGGTAATTTGTACCCACTACAAGACAGGCCTGGTCGGAGGGGGGTGTTGCAAGAGTTGTAGACTGCTACAATACAATGTATGCATATTGTGTGTAGTTCGACTGCAGAGCTAGTTGTTACCGGCACAATTACAGAGCCACATGTATTGTTACAAAGTCGATTTTCATAGAAAGCAAACAGTTGTTGTCCGTTCGTGCCCCCCAAACGCGGCACGACCGGACCTCAATGGTTGTGACGTTTAGACTATTTGCCAAACCCCAAAGCAAGAAACATCACATGCAACGGTTTACGTTTGCAAGAGAACAGCATCGGTAGACCAGTTAGTTCAACTCTAGTCAAGCTGGCATATCTTGCACTCGGTATCCCCCGATACACAGCAGTCGAGGTACACACTGAATGTCTCCTACCTTTGTTGTGTGGTGCATCGCCGAATGCAGGGAACAGCGGGAGGAGCGGTCAGCCAACACGACGTTGGGAGGTTTGCTCCGGTCGATGTTACCGATGAGGACTCCCACCCCCGTGCGAGAACCAGCTTGAGTGCTAAGGAAAAGGCTGTCAGGGACGATGAGAAGGAGGAGGCCGCCCCTCCTCCTGCTGCTGCTCCTGCTGGCACTGCTCTGCGGGCGATAGGTAGCAGCCGCTCTCCAATCATGTTGAACACCGTCCGTCCCTCTCCTCTCGAAAATGCCAAGCGTTTCTGCCTTCTGCAGCCGCTGCGTAGCCCTTCCGCCTTTCCTGCTAACGTTATGGCCGAGGAGGATGACCGTTGCCACTCTCCCTGCTACGAGCAAGCAAGCAACAGCGCACAGCAGAGTCGTGGCAGTCCTTGTCCTGGGTCACTGGTCACTAGTCGCATCGTCGCATCGAGAGAAGGGGCCCCGTTGTCGCGGTGAACCAACATTTTTTTTTTCTTAATATGACACAACGAAACCTTTTGTGTCGAGTTCTGGTGCCGCTTCGGAACGCTGCTGTTTGCTGACGCGTCGGGGTTCTCGGGTTGATGTCGCTTGCGGTCTTGCTGTTGGTCCACAGCACGTACACACGCACCTACACACGCCTGATGGGGTGGAAATGCTGACCATCAATCCTGAGTCTAGCAGCAAGACAGGGACTGGAGATATTGTGCCGGGCTCAGGAAAGGAGGGCTAAGGCACGAGAACAGCGATCGGATCTTCCGTCAGGACAAATAATTCCGAAAAGGTTGCCGATCTAGACATCTGGACGGTTTCGTATGTGGAGAGCACTGGAGGAATCCTCTAAGCCCCAAACCAAGCACTTGAAGGTGCTTCTTCTCTCCACAAGACGTAGTGTTTGCAGTGTTTCCTGCAATGATGGGCCGCTACCAAACGCTGCTCCCGACGAAGAGCTCTGATAAGGTGGGCAACACCTGCATTCCTATATTTATTTCCTACGCGTCCATGCATAGTCTGCGAGTTGAACCGTGGGCGATTTTTGTGGTTGGTGCTGTATCACAAGCTTACGGTAACCTGAGGTCTAGACTGGGTTCGAAAGTGCTCGGGTTAACACCAGTATTGTGACAAAGAAAATTGGGCCGTGCAGGGCAGAAAGTCTTGCTTGAAACCGGTTTTTACGGGGAAAATATCAGACATGTCTTCACCGTTTTCACGGCGAAAAAAACTTGATTCTCCCGCCGCGGAAATCTCTGTCTTTCCGATTTTCCGAGCGTTCTGCCTCGGTATGGCCCGAACAGCCGAGCTACCAGCTCGGGTTTCGAGAAAAGCTGCAGCTGCTATCGATGTGTCTGTTGGTCACCTTTCTGTTTTGGCAGGGTCGGGCTGCGAACTTTGTCGTTGGAGCAAGTCTCGCAAATCTCCCGAAAGATCCGCACGGAAATCGGATTCCTATCTCGGAGAGAATCTTGCGCCAAAAGGCCGCCTTTGGACGGATCTTGCGCCCGATTTTTGGCGAACCTGTAGCTCCAATGACAACACTCAAACCTCGACCTTCCAAAAGACATGGTGACCTGCAGACATCCTGATGACAGCTGCAATTTTCCCCACGACAGAACAGGTGCACCCAAGTCACTTCGCGATGCAAACTCCGAAAGTCGAGGTAGCCTAGGTACCCCATGCTAGTCTTGAAACAGTATAATAGTGCTCGGTGGTGTGCGCAGGGGATGGGATCGCAGGACTTAACGCACCCTCCCTGGTGAAGCAGTCTCGGTACCATGCAGACTATTATGTAGAAGTGCGTATCACTACTTGGTGGTGTATGCTTCGTGAGTGCCTGTATACTATTACACGCGATGTAAAGTTCTACCTCCTATGTAGTGTCGGTCAATTGCTGGGTCCCTGCTATCACAGCAGTGTACACATGTGTGTCGTGTATCTTACCATGTATTTAGGTGGACTGCGCGGACATACATAATGAATTTGTGGTATCATACAGCCCGCAGGACGCCGGGGGTTGTTCCGGTCTACGCGTTAGCGAGACAAGATCAGTGTTGACTTCGAATCTAACGCCAAAATGTTTGAATGTATGTACCTTATCGCAGTCCACCTGGCAACACACCAAGGCCCCAACTCACGGCCACACCCGCCGCCTCACCCGGAAGAGAGGGTTGGGGAGCAACCGGACCAGCGACATTAGCAGTGGCGCTACTGGTCTTGAAAGCTTCGATGACGATGACGACAGCCGTCACGTGCAGCACAGCCGTCATTTCCGCCAGTCCAGACGGAATCCATTGATAAATTTATTCCTGCTGGCCGCGCTAGCGCTCGGGTGTGGCTGCTGGTTGCGCTGGTTCTTCGAAACCACCCCACCGAAGCGATTAAAACACAACAGTGCCTCAGCAGCAGCATCGTCTAAGCCGATCGTCGCGGATACAGCAAGTAGAATCCGTAGTACATTTCGTTCGTCGGACTTAGTACCCAGGGCTGAAGCCAAGACGACTGCAGGTCAAGGTTTGGTGTGGGCTGTTCATGTGGGGCAACCGCGCGACAGCGGTCATGGTCGTGAACAAGAAAACGCTGCATCTTCCTCCGGAAATGCCAACATTGCGCGGCAACCCGCTGCCTCCTCTTCCAATGGAAAACCCAATGACCGCGAGGCCGGTCGCGCACTGTTTGAGAGTGCGCAGTGGAAGGGTAGCACGGGGGTCGTCGGCACAGGGCGGGGTGATCTCTCGGGGTCAACAGATCTTTTACGGAAAGTTGTTGGTTCGACCAATGACCGCGGGGGCAAAGAACTTGGATCGTCAGAAAATACAGAGGAGGATCGAGCGCGCATGATTGGCACGACGGGAGACCGTGATAGCGTTGGTTGGGCCCACCAGGAGGAGCGGGAAGGGACGGGGAGGGGGAGGGGGATCAGACATTCCGACGTCCCAGATTGGGAGAGGCCATCAAAGGTCCAAGTCGAAGACATCCTTCTGGGGCAGGTGTGCTTAGATGTGGTGTTGGCCGTGTTTACGATCCACTCATCACAAGCAGTAGTTCCTGCAATCAGGTCTATTCTGCGGTGCTCGTCGACGTTTGATATCATTCCGGTTTCCTCAGCTGCTAGACCGTCGTTCCGCGGATGAAACACTCGTTGTTTCGTCAACCTCTACACCCCTTACAAATGTCACTTTTCCGTTTCTGAAAATCCTCGTCATGGCAAGGAAAAACGTGCACCAACACCTGTCTGCGCAAAGCAATGTATACTACCGCCCGAACGAGAACGTCGTCGTGTCCATTGCCGTAGTTGTCTCCACATTGCAAGGCACTCTAGCGTTTCTATATATAGGGGTATATTTTAATGGTGTGGGATTTCTGGCGCGTTCTCTCTCCTGGGTCGTGTTGAATCTCGCCGACACAGTGGGTCAAAATCTGCGTAGGATATGGCGGAAAGAGCGAAGCTTGGACTGGGTGAAGCAAACATCCTCGGAATCTCATAGAAGAAGCCTATCCGCTTGGGATTGCACTTGCATGTTTTCGTCGCCTCGGAGTTGGTTAATGTTGAGATCCATTCCGTCTTAGACGCACGAACGTATGATACCCTTCCTGGATCCGGCAGAACGCGAAAAAGGCTGTTCTGTCACAGGAAAAAACAACTGTTTCGGACGGCAAGCCTGGCGGCTTCTTGCATCCCCAGTTCAAACGGTTACACCCCAAGTTTCCAATGGCGTGTATATATTTGTCAATGCCGCCTTACAAGTATTTACTTGGTTGTCACTTCTGCCGTTCCCCCAATGGTTTAGTTCGGTGATTGGCGAACGTTGGGCGACGCGGTGGTGCGGACCTCGCTAACAAGCAATTCTACCGACATAGGCGCAACTTCTGCAGCTGCAGCAGCAGAAGCAGCAGCACAGCACCAACTACAACCAGCATCGTCGACGCCAGGAGACCCAGCACCTCCCGCCTCACCGATGAGACGAGTCGAGCGAGAACAGGATCTTCTGCCGGCGAAGCACCCGCCGAGGTCCTCGAAAAGAGAGAAAGCACAGGAGGAGCAAGCGCAACGGAGGCGCGGAGAGCAACGCCGGCAGAAACAACAGGCTAGCGGACACCCGAGGGGTGGCGGTGGAAGATACCCAGCCAAGAAGTGTCCCGCGATGAAGCAAGGGACGGAGCCGGTTCCCGAGGAGGACGTGCAGAGGTGCTACGACGAGATGCGGAAGGAATTCGTCTTCGGAGAGCCGTTGAGACAGGTAAAGTGCGTTTGTTTTTTGGTAGAATCGGCCACTCCAACTGGCCGACCAAACGTGGTGGTGGGGCGAAAGAGTTCGCGCTTGTGCGAATACCTGTTTTTTCCCCATCGAGGCCAGCGAAATATCATGTTTTTTCTCAAGGTCGAATAACGACGCGTAGGCCAGGCCAGGAAAGCAGAAAAACCAAGCCGCGCAAGCGGTCGTCAGAAGAATCAGACCCACTCTTCACCTTTGACGCCGGGTGAGTGTTGTGCGTTGCTGTAAGGAGGGCCGTCTGAAGAAGAGTGCCGCGTTGGTCGATTTGTGTCCTCGAGAGGAGTTACGGCCATCTAGGATCTCTTTAACTCGGTTGCACGCGGGAGCGGCATTCTGCGACGCCGTTGTGGCAGAAACCTTCGTCCTTGTACACAGAGCCGATCGAGCTCATGCGCTGTTTCTTTGCCCGATTTCACAGATAGAAGTGGTGACGATGGGCGAGAAAAAGCGGGTCAAGGACTCCCCGCGAGGCGTGGTCACCTACATGAGCACTTCTCGGACAGACGATATTACGGCGCTAACCCAGTCTCTCCAGACCCTTTCCAAGAGCTTTCTAGCGCAGCACCCATACCCGGTGAGACCTGTTATCGCGTTTTCTGAAATTTCTCGGTGGTTCGACGCTCTTATTGGTGCCGGCGGTGACGATAGTGGTAATTCTATGTAGTTGTGGTGGCAGGTAGGTGTAGCAGTTGTCCTAGCGTGATTTAGTGTGTGTGTTCGTTCACTGTTTGTTCTAATATGTTCTGTCATTTATTTCCTTTGTGCTGGTGCGCAGGTGGCCATCATCCACGAGGACTTCACGACGGACCTGATGAAAAAGATTCGGGTGAGCGTCACCTCTGCAGCAAGCACAATGCAGTTACAGCAGTAGTGCCCGCACTCCAGAACGTGGCCGTTATAAAAATGAATCCTCGAAAACTCAACATCAAAGAACGTGAGCACCACTTTTGTGAGCTCGGTTGCGAATCCCGACACTGAAAGCTATACAACGGCCATTCGTAGCATAAATGCTAGGGACTCAGAGTCCAGCCTCGGGGAAAACTTGAGGTTCTTGAGCGCGGGCGCTAGCTGCAGACTGTAGACAGCTCGATGCGTTTTGGATTCTCCGCAATGTTTCACGGAGAAGAGACGGAAGAAAGAAAGGCGGCAAACCACACGATTTATCCTGTACCGTTATCGGAACGAGGGGCTCGCAACACTAACTAGTGCTGGTTGACCCGCAACCTCAACTGCCATCACCACCCTCTGCGGGTACAGCAGTACCCCACCAGTAACAGCTTCTTCTGACCGATTCTTGATCAGTTTCAGTCGATGCCTGCACAGCAGAGAATATCGTTTCCTGTCTGTCCGAAAAAAATGTGTCAAATCAGGGCATGGTGCCGGTGCCGATCCACTTCGTCAAGGTGGCCTTCAAGCTGCCCGATTGGATGGAGCCGTTGAGCTGGGTATATCCGTTGGTGAGGTGCAAAGTTGTAAAGCAGTCGAGGGACACCCTGTTGTGCCGATGCCAACGTTTAGTAGAGGTGATGGAGATTATTCCCGAAGGGGTTGAGAGATTATGTCGTCTTGTGTGACAGCCAGGAAATCACCGGGGGAATTTTAAGAACGGGAACAAGAGTAATAGACATAGCTGCTCAAGTACTGTCTAGTCGAACGCAACAAGGACGGTTCCACTTCCCTAGCTAATTAGGTAGGCTATCCTTAATACGTTTGCACGGGTTCCGCTCTCTTCTGGTGCACTTTTCTTGCATTGTTTTTTTCAGGCGGTGAAGCAGTTTACCGGGCACCCCAAATCGGAGCCAGTGGTGGGGTACCACAGCGAGATGCGTGGCTTACTCCCTTATGTCAAGAGGGGCGGCTTCGGATACTTCCACATGTGTCGGTAAATATGGTAAAGCGGGTGGAAGGGGTGCTGGAGTGTGGTATGTAGCAGTTGTTGTAAAACTACCTGAATTTTGTTAGCCTTTCGGGTAGCTAGCTGCTGCATCATCGGGGTGGCTGGTCGTCGTGACACGTGGTGGCGTGGCATTTTTCCTGCTCAAAGCTGGGCCAGCCAAGAAGCTCACTTTCGTTGTTTCGCGTCTCACGCTGCCAATTCCACGAGTTTAGACTTGAAATTTTGCGGCTACACTTAGAAGACAATCGAGGATGCGCTGGTGCCAGAATTTTTCGAATATGAGGTGATTTGGGTATTGAATGCTCAATTGGCGGTGTAGTGGGGGATGGTTCCGGTACTGAAATCAGTATAAAAAAAGTTTTACAGATTAAGCCGAAAATTGGTGTGCACTTACGTGGGAGCATTGCGAGAACAATGATGGTAGTTACAAGGCTCAGGTCATCTTCCAGCAGAAGTTATGGCCTCGTAAAAGATCCTATACAACACCCAAGATACTGAGCGAAAGTGAGGATATCGCGATTTCCGAGCCGGTTTTCACTAACTACAACCTGAAATTTTGACATGTGATTGGAAACGGTCTTACAAACGCCCCCGAAGGAGGTGCGGTATTTTTTTTTTTTTTAAGCCACAAAAACCCCTCTATTGGGTATCTTAGGTATTAAATATAGGGAAAACTCACAAAAAAAAATAAAAACAAACCCGCACCTCCTTCGGGGGCATTTGTAAGACCGTTTCCAATCACATATCAAATTTTCAGGTTCTAGTTCGTAAAAACCGGCTCGGAAATCGCTTCTAACAATTTTGTTGGCTTCTTGGCTGGCCCAGCTTGTATCGCCGATTAAAGAAACAAAGAACAACAGCCTTAACCCTCCGTGTCCCCAAACGTGTCAAACATGTCAAGGTTCTTCGCCGGGGCGGGCTACATGCTGCCGTTCTTCGACGACTTCGACTTCTACTTCCGCTTGGACAGCGACAGCCTGTGTGCTCGACCAATTCCGGATCACTTCTCCGCGCTCGAGGTGAGCGGATGGGTCGAGCGCTGCGACGACAGGCAGTATCAGTTTCACACTCAAATTGGACCCTTTATTCCAACAGCCATACCAGGCACAGTTCTACTGGGCGTTTCGAGTTTGTTGCTGCATGCGACAGGACGAAGCCACACGAGTGATACTTCGTGGGCGCGGTTGGTTTTTTGCCGCCGACCTGGACTCCTGCCCGGTCGTGCTGCCCCACCCACTTGAAACTGCATGCGGAACACAGGCAGTGTTCATATGTACCCCCAGTTTTTTCGTTGTGGTAGCATTTTAGCGCGATCTTGCGGACCCATAGTCCACGGAAACAGGCTGCCCGCCCCTTCCACTGCTACAAGCTGTGAAGACGACAACATCAGCAACGACGACAACAACAATAGGAAAGGTTTGATTGCTCCTGCCAACCGCCAAATGCGCACCACTTCCTCCAATAGCCGCAGCGGCAGCAGCAACAACAACACCATCACCACTACCTTCCGTCCGCGCAGGATGTTGGTGCGGATTACGCTTTCGGCTCGACTTTCTTGGACTACGGAGGCAAGACCCAAGGCCTTTGGAACTTTGCTGAGGCCTACATGCGCGATCAGAACATATCCCCCACCTTCTGGAGCAGCCCCAACAACGAGATTACGAGATTCAGGGTGTGTAAACCCCCGGAGAAAGTCTTGGGATCCAGCTGCTAGCTGTCAGTCACAGCGTGTCAGTCCCCTCTTGCGCGCGCTTGCCAATATTTTGATGGCTCGATTCGCTTTTCCTGGTGGTCCCCTACCGTTCCCAATAGGAGTCACGGGTGGCTTGTGGCGTGGCAAAACAGCTTGTACGCTGATTCGAACCATGTGAATTGATGTTGACGTACTCACGGAGACAGTTGATGTTGCTATATACCCATTGGACGAAATGCAAGCAGTTGGTGGTCAAAGGTAGCCCTATAGACTTTGTCTTGGGCTTCATGAGTGTTCTTCGCCAGTCCAGTCCTCCTCTTCAGCCACGGTTGCTCAGACCCCGCGCTTCGCTCGAGCAGCATCTTTTTGAAAAGCAATGTTTGGAGAAGCTGACAAGTTCTTGTTCCACTGTCCACACATCGAGATGTCGAATGTTTGCTCTTCCGATCTAGAAAGTACCGTTTGCAGAATTTTCTGGTATACACGAAGGACCGGCTGCCGTTTCCACAGCGAGCGGCAGTGCGGCGACCAATGCGACAGAGACGGTTGCTTCTTGAGTGATGCCGACAGGGGTGTGTGCCCGGTATTTGCCTATCTCTCTTTCCACGTGTGCGACGTGTGGTGCCGTGTTACGTATGCATGGTATGATAACGACGGACAACATGAGCATGCTCAAGGTAATATTAGGTTGGTGTGTTCGTGTGTTGTCTCTCCTGCGCTCTGTTGTGATGAAAGGCGCTGGCGGCAGCCAAGAGCCGGGCGCCATACCCACGGTGCGAACAGGAAGAAGGCCGAGCGAGAAACAGCGTTGACCGCACCCCGGAGGGAGCAGCGGTGAGATGTTCTTGTTGTCGTTGCTATATGTCATTGTCGTCGTCGTGGTCATCTTCGCATTGAAGGATCGCTTGGAGGACGTCTTTGTGTATAATAGTGTTGTAGACAAGGTTTTCCGGACAATACATATCGACTTTTTGTCTTTATTTTGTTGAAAATCACACAGATGAGGTCTCCAGAAATCGAACCAAGCTCAATAAGAAAGAGGGATCGCAGTCGAACTGTTGAAACGTCTTGTATCAAGAGCTCGTGGACCATCAAGATTTACGTGGTTGTGATTATTTTGTGACGACAATGCATGGTGCGATTGACGGATGTCTTGACATACGGGTTGGCATGCAGGGGTGAGAATCATCTCTCACAAAACATCAGTGCACGAATCGCTTGCTACGCCTCGTCGCGTTGAAGGGCAAACAAACAGCCCCTGAAATTGAAACAAAATTGCGCGCGACCACCTGACCTGACTGATAAACCTGACGCTACGGAAGTTGACTAGCCAACGTCTCGGGGGGCCGCAGAGGGCTCTTGCAGTGAATCAAGAACAATGATTCCTACACCACACGACCTTTTCCCAGTTACAAGAGAGGTGGTTTTACACCCACCGGATGGAGCAGAACTCTCGGCAACTGTCGATCAACGAAGACCCCCCTTCCCCTCCGGATTTGCCATCCTAAACACGACGACGACGACGTCGACGACTACCCGCACTTGGCAGATACACCACGTGCCATGTCGAGATCGCCACTTCCAAGCGGTGCCAGCCTTCTACACCAACTTCGAGGTCGCAAGAATACAGGTAGGTGTGTCAAGAAGTCACCGGCCCCTACAAGCCTCGTGCGGTGCGTCAAAACGAAGATTCGTGGTGATGATGGGGAACTGAAAGAACGGCGGGCCAAAAGCAGCACAATAGATAAATGTGTTTAGGGTGGATCGTTTTGCACTATGGCTCTCAACTCTATCGTTTTAGAACCTAAAAGTGCAACTTTACGTATAGTATGTTGGTCTGACAACGTGACGTCTCCGGTGCCAATCGCATCTAGATGATGGTCGGTGCCGACGTTTCACCATACAGCAGTACTTCACATCACCGGGGCGCGTCATGATCGTCTAAACCCTGCAAGCTCCCGATTGACGTTTATGCAGTACTACAGAGTATTTTTGAGTAACGGAACTTTACGGTACTTTCATGCATATGCACGCTCAAGATAGGCACATAAAATCTGATTAACCTGTACCAGGTATGCCCTTAAGTGACACATGAACATCATTGGACATCGTCGCGGGATGCACCCACAGAAGTTAAAAGTTAATTTGGGCATGTAATGATTCTCCTGTAGATCGATATCACCGGAAATGCCTGGACTCGATGAGACACGATTACACGATGGACATGATTGCACACGCCGACACCCCCCCCCGACTTCCTCGGCCCTCTTTTTCCGATCAGATGCTCAGGAGCTCTTGGTATCAGGACTGGTTTAATGCTGTCGATAAGACCGGTTCCATATTCTACAACAGGTAAATAGTTGATTATATACGTTTCCGTCACCTTGGAAGACGTACAGAAGACGACGAACCATGGTTGAAATCAGAGGTGCACTTGTTTGTGTATCATGCTACCACATCCAACCTACTCTACTCGAGCCAGCTCCTAAAAACAGAAACGATAAACAAACGGGGTCGGTAGCAAAACATTTGCTGGGACAATTTCCGCGCTTGAGTTGTACGATGCGCAATGCCGTGTTCGAGCGAGTTTCGAGATGGCCGCATTCCAAACACGCGTCATGAATATGAGTGACATGCCCGGAAAATTGCTTCGGCACGACGCACGATCGAACACCAACAACACCACCAACAATCCCAACACTGAATGTTAATGTTCCGGCGACCGTTTCGTGTGGGCGTGGCGTCTCGTCTGACAGGTGGGGAGATGCCCCCATCCGCTTCCTTGGGCTGGCCATGCACCTTCCCGCCGACAAGATTCTGGAAGTTCAAGGATGTCGCCATGATTGAACAGAGAGCGGGGAAGGACGGGAGCTCCAGGGTCAAGGCGATTCATAGGGCGGGAATTTTACTGTCGTATGTTGACTGGTGGTGGGCTGACTCTATTAGATTTTGAGTCGTTCGTGAAGTTGGCTAGACAAGCACGGCTGCACGCGCAGACAGAAGTAAGTGCCGTTTCGTGTCTCCCTCCGATTTAGCCGATTTAGCCTGCTTGTGCAAAGCAGGGGTAGACTATACCTAGTTTGTGTTTAATCCTTCCCGCCGCCCCCCCCCCCCCCGCCCCCCCCACATACAAGGTACAGGTACAAAGAGATGTTTGAGGCATGGCATAGCCAGGAGAAAACGCCATTTAGACTGGGGCATAGGAAGTGGGCTGAAAAGGCGGCAAGTGATGTCGATAGGATATATATATAGTACAAGGGAGAAACATTTTTTAGCCACGTTTGGTACAGTAGGAAGGGACGATTGGCCATCATCGGTGATCCGTCCTGTGGGAACAACGCTCCGTCCTCTCGAGGACGCGTAGTCAATGGTCTAAGCGCTATGGCGTGCAAAACATAAGAAGAGCACGCCCCCCTCCCCATGCACCCATTCACACAAAGTTAACGGCCCAGGCCGCCAATAAAAATCTTGAGTTTGAAACGGGATCGATTTTGGGACCTCGTCGCGCCCCCCTCAACTTACCCTACGGAAACAGCTGGTGAAGCCTACTTGCTATGTTGAAAGCCTTTCTCTTACTTGCACCACCCGTCCTGCCGCGAGAGCTTGAGGACTACTGTACGTGCCAACAACACTAGTAATTTGCTTTGAGGTGGGCGTATTGACCACATTTTCGCCCTGGGGTCGCAGTTGGTACGCCGCCAACATAATGTTACTTGTTCATCAATGAAAGAAAGAAAGCAAATGCCAGCCCGTTGCTGTAGGGTCCAAAATGTTTACGAACCAACCCACTGTGCGTCCTTGGGGAATGATCTTGGGGGAGCTCCGGAGACATCGTTTAGCGCCAGCGAGGAATAACGATCACACCAACAATCCCGTGTACTGTTCGGCGTGTGCGCGTTCGTGTGCGGCTAGTGATACGTATCTACACGAACATCTCGCTTCTGTTTCGTTGACGCATGAGGGAAAAAACCGCCAATAACCACCGAGGTTTCATTCAGTGCCATCCAACATTTATTTGCCTTACGTGGATGACATACATTTGCCTGCGTGGCATATTCGCTGCGCTGGAGTGTGTCATTTTCTCAGGGGGATCAGAGGAAGGCCTGCCGCCTTGTTGCATGTTTACGGTAAAAGTAAATGCGTGCTGTATTCTTCTAGGCCTCGTCGCACATACGTGTGCTTGTTGAGACGAAATTGCAAGAAAACTCGAAGGATTCGGATCAATTGGGTGTGACGTCTTTACTGTCGTCGCTTTTTGCTCTTGCCTCCGAAGAACGTTTGCGTCTTGACATATGTTCACAAATGTTGGGGCCCATTTAACTCCTTTTGGTACGAGAATGGGCCTCATCACAAACCACATCATCCCAGGGACGCCCAACCGATCATGCGACGCTAATTTGTAAGGAATCTTTTCCGAGAGTTCTCTAAGCCGCGACCAAAACGCGACCGCTAGGAAGGCCGGTCGCCTGTTTACCCATCATCCGTGCTGGAAGCAGATCAATCAATCTACTTTCCCGCCACATGTTGCAAATGCAAGAAATACAACCGTCCAAAGCTTCTCCATCCACCCAAAACGTGGTTTTGTGACGGTACAATAGCAGCTCACCTTACAGGGCAACTATCAAAACCGAAATTGTGCTTCAGCCGGGGGTGTTGGAATTGTCTCTCCGTTCTATCCTGCTTGATACTGTTGCTTAAGCTTCCGTGCCAACCAAAAGGTAGCATCAACAGAGTGGCGCACCTTTCCCTATGTTCCTTCACTACATAAGATCAATTCCCCAAGTCCCAAGTATCCCCTATCTATATATACGAAGTTATTACATTGGTAATAGCTGCTTACCATGTATGTCCGGTGAGAGGGTACCACGAGCCCGAATACACGAACGACAGGTCAACTTTTATTTTTCAGTCAACGAAGTCTGTCTTGAAACTACAACACAACAAAATATGTTGATTTGTGTAATCTTCACAGTATGTATGCACATGAAACAAACAGGTACAGCAGTGTACACAGCAGTAAAACAAGGGTCAGTTCGACAAACGGCACACTTCGGCATGAGGTACGGCAAGAGTTGATTTGACTGCCCTGTCTACTCGTCGTCGTCGTCGTCGTCGTCGTCCTCCTCCTCTTCTTCCTCCTCCTCCTCCTCCTCCCCCTCTTCCTCTTCTTCCTCCTCCCCCTCGCCGACTTCAATCTCGACGTCAATGTCGACATCAATCTCTGCTCCTTCCTCCTCCTCTTCTTCCTCTTCCTCCTCCTCCTCCTCATCCGAATCGGATCCGCCCATCTTCTTGACCTTTCCGCCGAACCGGAGGCCGCCTTTCTTCTTCTTCTTCATGTTCACCTTGTAGTAGTCGCTGCACCGAACAGAACAGAACAAAGCGTCGCGTCGCACAGGGGGTTAGGCAGGTGAGATGGGTGCATGTGCCCCAATGCCTTGGAATTTATTTATTGTACACAGCCGTCGTGGTCTGACGTAAACGCTGCGCCGTATGACCAGAGCACGGGCAAGGGCGTCCAAAAAAAAAAAAAAACATTGTTCGGTTTGCCTCATTTCACCGTTTCTGAGGAAACGCTGAGGTAACGACGGGGGGGCAGACGCCGTACACCCGAGCCAGCTAGCTGCGGTCTTAAAACAACCGCGACAGGACGGACACACCCATTTCCGCATCCTCTCCCTTCAGCCTCATCTCTTACCCTGCGCCGACCATGCCGAGGCCGGAGTTGATGCCCTTGTTCAAGCCCTTAACGAAAGCTTTGCCGGCCTTGTCTCCGATCGACGACGGCTCTTCCTCCTTCTTCGGCTTCTTCGGCTTCTGAATCTTGGGCGCCTTCAGGTCTCCTTCGGTGAAGCCCCCCGCGTTTGTGAAGCTGCCCCCGTCCAGGCCGACGTATCTGCGGACACACAGCCACACAACAGAAAACAATAAACAGTTACCACTCAATCAAGTTGTGTGACAGCAGTGTTCAACTTGAGCTTGGAACCTGATCTTCATCTCGTCTGCGCTCTCTACACCACCATCGCAAAAACACACCGAGCATCTCCTGGAAGAGCAGCACGGTTGCCCGAGGCAAGCCGCTATGCCAATGTTCGAATCGATCTTGGAAAATGGTGGGCACGCTTCCGTCCGAATCGTGTAAAGACAAAACGAGGTTTTTGTTGTTCAGGAGGGGAGGTGCCGCTGAAGGTGAACGAAACAAAACACACGCCTGAGAGAGAACCGTGACTCAAATTTGTTTGGAAGAAATATGACATGCGTTTGGGCACAGCTCAGAAGACAGCACTGACACCGCCGCCGCCGCCGCCCACACGCTGTAAATCGTACGCACGCTTGTGCTTGAGACCGTTGAAACCATGCGGGCAACACGCTATTTCCCGCGGGTGTTTCGAAATCCCAACGGCGCAACGGGGACGACGCGCATTTGCATTGATCTATCCAAAAACCGTTCTCTTCCAAAACGCCTGCCCTCTTCTTTGGGGTTTGCTTGGGTTGCAATTTTGCGCAGCACGTGCAGTCGAGGCCAGCCGTCACTGGCTCTTGCTTGTGTCCTACGCAAGCTTGCAGGCACAACGGAGGCACTGTTGAGTGAGTGAACCTGTCGGTTTTCTGTTCGCGTCGTTCAGCGAGGGAAGAGACAGACAGACAGCAGTCTCGAGTGCGGAGGAAGGAAGCCATGAACCGCGCACTTACCCTTGAGGCCTCGGCTTCACGACCGGGCGCGTGGTCAAGCGCTTCATCATGAAGTCCAGACCCTTGCCGAGCCCCGTCATCGCCGGCGATCCCCCGGCCGCGGCCCCGGGCATGGCCATCATCGGCATGCGGGCGCCAGGTTGTTGACCTGTGAATTGAATAATACAACGAAAAAAAAACTGTCAATGAAGCAATACAACGAAATAAAAACGTCCGGGCATCATCAAGTATTCGAATGAATGCTCAGGTTATTCTACAACCGACGGGCAGTGTGGCGCATTTGTTTTAGTCCTGAACGATCGCTACCTCACAACAGTAGCCCCTATTTCGACCACCTGCTGTCTCTGCCGGCAGGGTATATCGACCTTTCTTTGTCGAAAGGGATCGCTCATCATTTTGTCTATTCGAGCTGTAACGGAGGGAGAAAGGGAGGTCAGTAGTACGCAATGCGTCATAGCAGACTTCTCCCCCCCCCAAAAAATGCAGTCCTCGTCGGAAAAAACACCACGTGCAGATGCACGTGCATAGACCGTTGACTTCTTCCAAAACGAGAACAACGCAAAACAGATTCCCCCAGTATTCAGTCTCCAATTACTTGAGCCCGCGAGCCATCCCCCCCCGACACGAGATGGTACAGGGGGTCGTCTGCTGTCTCAACAAAGTGCCCTACTGGATAGCACATCTTCAACAAAGCGGGTTAACGTTAAGCTGCGGGGGGCCGACGGAGTTGAAGGGAGAAGAAAACTACTTGTACCATTTCTGCCTACATACCTCGCTGTTGCCCTTGCATCATAGCTTGCTGCTGCGCCATCATGGCTTGCTGGATCTGGGGAGGGAGTTGGGTCCCGGGGGGCATGCCGAACATGGTGGGGTCGAAAGCGGCCGGCGCTGGTGCTGGTGCTGTCGGTGATGCAGGCACCGCCGCCGGCTGTTGTGCATGCGGCACCTCGGTACTGGGAGGGGCAGCGGGATTAATCGACCGAGTATTAGGAATCGACTACGAGCCCTTGGTCGGACGAACGCACTTCTTCATCCACATTACATGGATCATGTTTAATGTAGGGAGGATGTGGGTGTAAAACGTCTTGAATGGCAAAAAATACGACGACAGCAGCATCAACAACGGCAGAAAAATACGCACGAGAAAATTACCACGAAAACGAAGAAAAAAAAACTTTCACAACAACTCTCGTTAACTGCCCTCGTTCCTTTAGGTCAACACTGGTTCCGCCGGTTTCTGATTACCCGAAATTCCTGGGCGGTGGGCGAAAGACATCATTTACCCGAATTTTCCTGTTGGTCAACACTGATGCTTTGTTTGGTGTGGTTGTTGTTGTTCTTCACGAGAACCCGTTCCGGTCTCTGCGCAGTACCGCCTACCATCCGTACCGGTCCAACTGTGTTGTCTTCACACGAGAAACCGCTCCGGTCTCTGCGCAGTACCGCCTACCATCCGTACCGGTCCAACTGTGTTGTCTTCACACGAGAAACCGCTCCGGTCTCTGCGCAGTACCGCTTACCATCCGTACCGGTCCAACTGATGCAGACGCCTTCCGCGGCCACAGGCGAACCACCCAACAATGGCACACACTTCTAGAGAAGCACAAAATATTGAGAAAGGGAATAAATATGGACCCAGAAAAAAATAGCGCCACTAACAGCTGCTGCAATGTTTACACACTTTCCGACGGATGCACGCCGAGGCGGCAGGGGGGGAGGGGCGCCCTTCTTCGCGTCGCCAGCCCTCTCCCGCTGGCGTGGCTTGGGCCCTGATGCAGCAGCAGTGTTGTCGGCCTGGGCGAGCACCGGGCGGTCCCAAGAGGTGGTCTTGTCTACGTGGTTGCGGTAGAAAGTCTTGCCGTCGGGTGCGATGGCCTCGCTCCACCCTGGGTTGTGTGTTCGTTTTCAGAACGTCAGAGAAACGCGTCAAGAGACCGGGAGAATAACGCAATCGAAATGAGACTGAGTTTCGGCAGGTTGCTTTTTTTCTGTTGGCAGTGTCGATGATAATAGGAAGTTTTGCCGCCAAGAAGAAGAAAGACGTAAATTACATCGGGCCTGAACCGGAAACGGCGAAGTGAGTGTATGCCTATATCGTGAGGACGGGAGTTGGCGGAGAGTTTCTTGCCGCGTGTCCCCACCGCTCGATCCTCGTCGTAAAACTGGTTCGCGAATAGTTGTGTCGTGCGACAGGCGCCGGCAAGCTCGCAAGGGGGGACATCAGTGCTCGGCTCGTCAAGGTCGTGCGCGCTAAAACGCCATATACACTCTCGCCTCGTTACCGTAGGAGCTGGCACCTTCAGGTGAAGAATGCACCGTCACGCGATTGTCGAAAACGCACGTAAGCTATACTCTTCTCTCTTCCCCCCCTCCGTCTTTGCCTCTCTCTCTCCCCTTTCACCTTCCCCGCCGGTCCATCAATCTACCGCTGTATCATTATCATTGCCAAAAAAAAGAAAGCAATATAAAAACCAAAACGCAAGGTTACGCAAGGTCAAAGCAAAGTTGCGGCGGAACGAGAGAGGATTGCACTAGACTATATCGGATGCAGGGGATGGTGATGGAGCGTTCGGGTAGATAGGACCGGCACGCCGAAACACGTCGTTGGTTTGTTAAGTATGTAGCTTACCAGGGGGAAGAGGCTGCTGTGTCTCGGCGCTGCCGCTAGCCTGCGCAGGCGACTTCTTCTCTCCTCCCCGTCCCCCGCTCTTGTCCATGCCACCGTTGGGTTCCTCGACAAGCACGGGCCTGTCCCAGGTGGTGGTTTTGTCGTGCATGTTGCGGTAGTAGACTTCCCCCGTCTTGGTGTAGGCCTTGCTCCAGCCTGCGGGGTGACAGGGTAGGATCCATCCCGTATCGCACGCCACGGCGAGGGGGAAATGGACATCGACTCATTACCTCCCCAGAAACCGGAGAGCATTCCTAGGAACCGAACACTACGAAGCACTTGGTTTTGAGGCGACTACTAACATCGCAGCAAGACAGGTGCCGACGACACGCCAACAAACGCTTTGACGTTGCCCTTGATTGGACATGGTCGTGGTGCGAGGGACAGGGAAGTTTCGTGCCCCATGATAAAATGGATAAAGGTTAAGTTTGTCCTGTGGCAGACTACATGGAGGGTGCTTGAAACAGCGTTTTTGGTTCCCGCTGTTTGGCCCCGGGAAACACAATACTTGGAGAAGTGGATAAAACTCCATCGATACAAGGGTTTCATGACGTTCTCCGTTGCCTTCCTCTTGTCCCTCACCTTTCCATAAAAGGTACACGCCACAGAAAAATGACAATCAACAAACACAAGTCCTCGGTGACCCGAAAGAACCTTGAAGCGGTGCGCCCAAACACAAACCACTGATGTGCATAGTCGATTCGCGAGGGACTGCCCAGCGTAATGCCCAAGTGCTGCTACCGGTGTGCGGTGAAACGGATTGCTGTTTTCTAGAGAGCTCTTACCGCACGTAAAAGAGAAGAACGAACATCCCATAAGCCCGTCAACCCGAAAGGGGCGCAATTCATTTCATACGAGGGGAAATACCTAGCGTTCGGGTGGGTAAATCGGCACACGGTGATTTCGTCGTTGGTTTGACAAGTATGTAGCTTACCAGGGGGAAGAGGCTGTTCCTTCTCGGCGCTGCCGCTAGTCTCTGCAGGCGGCTTCTTCTCCCCTCCCCGTCCGCTGCTCTTGTCCTTGCCACCAGCATCCGCGCCCTTGGGCTCCTCGACAAGCACGGGCCTGTCCCAGGTGGTGGTTTTGTCGTGCTTGTTGCGGTAGTAGACTTCCCCCGTCTTGGTGTAGGCCTTGCTCCAGCCTGTGGGGTGACGGGATGGGTTATCGCACGCCACGCAAAAGGGAAACGGAAAATTAACCCATCAACTCCCAGAAACCGAACACGATGAAGCGCTTGTGTGTGACTACTAACATTGCGGTAAGACAAGTGCCGACGACACGACAACAAACGCTTTTGGCGTTGTCCGTAATAGGACATGGTCGTGGTGCGAGGGACGGGGAAGCTGAGCGCCCCATGATAAAAATGGGTATTGTTTGTCTTGTGGGAGAGTACTTGGAGGGTGCTTGAAATAGCGTTTTCGGTTCCCGCTGTTTGGCCCCAGAAAGCACAGTACTTGAAGAAGCGGTTAAAACACCATCGATAGGGTTGCATGACGTTCTCTGTTGCCTTTCTCTTGTCCCTCACCTTTCCATTAAAGGTACACGCCACAGGAAAGCGACACTCCACGAAAATATTCAATAGACGAACAAGTCCTCGGTGATCCGAAATAGGGTCGAATTTCATACGACGGGATACTGAGGAAGTGTTCGGGTCGGGTAGGTAGAGAATCGGCACGCAGTGGTTCCGTCGTTGATTGACCAGGCAGTGGACTCGTAGCGTACCAGGGGGAAGAGGCTGCTCCTTCTCGGCGCTGCCGCTAGTCTGCGCAACCGACTTCTTCTCCCCTCCCCGTCCCCTGTTCTTGTCCTTGCCACCAGCATCCGCGCCATTCGGCTGCTCGACAAGCCCTGGCCTGTCCCCGGCGGTGATTTTGTCGTGCTTGTTGCGGTAGTAGACTTCCCCCGTCTTGGTGTAGGCCTTGCTCCCGCCTGCGGGGTGACAGGGTAGGAACCATCCCGTATCGCACGCCACGCGAGAGGGAAAACGGAAATCAACACAACCACTATCCAGAAACCGGAGAGCTTTCTCGGAACCCAAACATGTTTTTCACCTCGTCCCATTTCCGAGAGCCCAAACCGCGTGTCATCTACCCCCCGAAAAAATCCAAACACCCACCGCTTGGTTCTCGCGTCACCCTTTTTCGATGCTTCGTTCAGTGTACTACCACAGCAGGGGGCCAACAAACGACCCATGAACCATGTGGTGTGAACCAGCACCAACACGAAACTATTGCGCCCTCCCCTACTTTTAAACTATTGTTGCCGCTTCTGTCGCACCATGAGGGAGGTGCGAGGTTTGTGCCCCGTCGTCGACGTTGGTGGTGCTTGTGGAGGGTCGGGTCTTAGACTGATCGCGCCTATCCCTATCCCTGCCCCTGCCGACGTCGTCTGCGCTCCCCCTGCTGCTGCTGCCGACCGAACCGTGGCTGGAACCCTCGGCGGAAGTCGGCGGGTCCCAGGTGCTTAGGTTCTCTCTCTCGTTGCGGTAGTAGAGTCTGCCCGTCTTGGTGTGCGCTCGCCTCCAGCCTGTGCCGGAGAATCGACCGACGACGCGCGAAGGCAACGTTCATCTTGCATTCTATTGGTTTTTTTTTGGGTCACCATCGCTCCCGGTCGAAATTTGCAAAAAGCACACAAACAACATTCAACATTCTTGCTATTTTGAGCGCGAGCGGTAACGTTCCCTTGTCCCACCGTCCAGATTTACCAAAAGAACACCCAAAATACTCTTGCAGTTTTGAGCGCGCGGCGGCAAGATTGCCTCGTCTCACCGTCAGGGAGGGCTGAGGCCAGTTCCCCCCCACCCTCACTCTTATCCTTCCTGTGGCCGCGGGTACTCTCCGTGACGCTGTCGCTCTTGGCGGTGTTGCTGCTGCCGCTGCTGCTGGTGCTGCCTCGGCGGCGTGAGGACGGGAATAACTCCTTCCTCCCGTCACCAACCCCCCGGCCGCTGTCGACGGTGTTGTCGTTGCCGCCGTCCCCGTTCTGGCGGCTGCCGCGGCCGCCGCTGCCGCTGCATTCGTAAACGTCCGAGCTGCGGCTGGTCCTCCTCCTTCTGCTGCTGCAGCTGGTATCCGCGTCCTGGTCCCTGTCTCCGCTGCTGCAGCTGGCGGTGGAGGAATTGCTGCTGCGTGTCGACGGCCGCCGTCCTAAAAAGAAAAAGGAAAGGCGCGCACCGACACCGACAGTTGAGGCCTCGCTTGGTACCGTCCTGCTCACTCACGGGTCACGGACCATTTGCCTCTGTTCGCCGTTCCGAAAATTCCACTTGCTCGCCAATTGCCAACGCTCTACAGGAACATCAGTTCCACAGGGGGCGTGATACGCTCCAACTCTCTCTTCGAAGGCTCCCCCCCCCTCCCCGGCCCCCCAGAGAAACAGAAACACCGCACACAAAGACCCGGACGTGTGCACAGGCACATGTTTCCACGGCAGATGCAAGGGGTGGGAAGTACCTAGACTAACACTCGACAACGCGAGGTGTTTTCAACAGCGCAGCAGCAGGAAGCACGATGTGTCTTTTCTGTGTGTGAGACCAAAGATCGAAATAACGTAAGACGGCAACAACGAAGACCAACGGAACAAGGTTTCGTGTCATGGAAAAAGGCCAAAGGGTGGCGAGGACAAAAGGCACGCAGTCCATTCTTTCGCCGCTCACCGTCAGGGACATCCTCGCGCTGCGCGCGGCTGGTGGAGGAGCTCTTCCTACCGCGCCTGTCCACCGTTGCCGCGGGCCTCCCCGCCGGGGCCGCGCTTGGCTCCACGCTGGTGCGGTTGAGGGCATCGTGGCTGCTCGAAGACGGTCGCGCTTGCTGCGACTGCTGTCGTTGTCGTTGTTTCGTGTCGAGGCCGCCCTCTGGCTCGCGGCGGGAAGAAGAGGCCCTAGCGGGCCCGTCCACCTTTGCCACGTACCTCTCGATGGGCGCCGCGCTTGGCTCCACCACCACGCTGTTGCCGTTGGAACGGCCGCGGGTGCTTGGCTTTGGCTGCTTCGGTTTCTCCCATTGCGTTGCCTGCGAGAGAGAGAGAGAGAGAGAGAGAGAGAGAGAGAGAGAGAGAGAGAGAGAGAGTGGCGATAGCGCGAGTGGCGGATCAAAGAGACGATTGCCCTCCCCCCCCCGCCCCACCGGACACATAGACGCGTTGAGTGGGGATAGCTGCATACTGAAACACCACGGGCTGAGTGATGTTTGCGATTGCCGGACACTAGACGCATTGACTGGGGAAAGCTGCATCCTGAAACCCCACAGGTTGATTTGTATTGGAGATTGCCGGACACATAGACGCGTTGAGTGAGGATAGCCGTATACTGAAAATCTTGTAACTAGTGAGGGGACAATTCGAGAATGCAGTACACATAGACCCGATCCCCAACCCGTACCCGAACCTCCCCTGAAAAATAGAGGCCATGTGCCCCCCTCCCCCTCCTCTACCTCCCCCAGAGGATGAGGAGGGTACAGTCCAAAGTAAGCACAAGCTTACCTAAGGTTAATGCCTATTGGTACGGCATAAAAAACAAAATACTCAAGTCCCCCATTAGGCGGTGGAGGACTTACAGCTAAGACACCCCAAAACTCTCCGGCGTGAGATCCAAAATGGATCGGACGGTGGAGGGGGGGGGGGTGTTCGTTGCTTGAAGTGGATCAATTAAACATAGAGCCATCAAAGCAAAGCTTGTTACTCACATCGAGCAAGCCGAACGACCTGACCAACCACGTCAAATCTGCGGAGCTAGATGTGCGGCACGCACAATGCATTGTTTTTGATTGGAGAGAGGCGAGTAAAAAGCAGTAAGGAATTGTTGGCCAAACTTTCGGCAGATAGGTCTACTCGGGAACGTAAGTGGGGTAGCAACCTATGGTGGAGCGTACATGAGAAGCTGAACGTTGGTGTACGCTCCATCCCGGCGTGTGAGTAGGATCTTAGGCTATGCAAGTCGTCCCTGAACTTATTGTGGTGAAAATGACCTCCCAGGAGAAAAGTAGCTTGTACCGCGGGACTTCAGAGATGATCAATTGGGTGGTTGGGGAACGTCTGGGTGCTTACTAAGCAGAGCGCCCTGCACAAGACTGGGGTACTTGTGCCAGGAGGTGTGAAATTGGATCTAGACTACGAGCCCATGTTGGAGGCGCTATTTAGCGTCGGTGAGCCGGCAAAATAACTGAAAGGAATCACAACCCCTACCGGACACTCGGATTGGGAAGGCCGAGTATTCCGTATACCTTACTGAAAAAACACGACAAACAAGTGGCCACGGTCCAGTTGCTGTAGAGATAATGAGGATGGTGAAGAAGCCGGGAGGATGGAAGCAGAAACTGTGGAAGGGAGACAGGTTGGAGCTGCTGCTGTTTGGGATTCCAAGGGACATAACGAGGATAGAGTTCAAGAACTGCTGTTGTGACAGGGAGGGACTGCACTGTCTAGCAAGGGGAGAAGTAGGCAGAGGGCATGAACATTTCCGGGTAAAATTGACCAAGGGAGACAGCCAAGAGTGCTTGGGGGTTGACATCGAGAAGCTGTCGAACTACATAAGGAAGTTTGGATGGAGGGTTTGCATCGCGAACATGATAGAAACAGAGAAGGTGAGGAGACAAGAGGCGAGGGCGATGGAGGCGAAGAAGGGACTCGGCGGGGGAGGCGAGCAGGCAAGTCAGGAGAACGCCGAGAAGAAGCGGAAGGCGAACGATAGAGTGCTAAAATCTCCAATAGGGAAAAACACAAGATGAGAGTGGAGTCGTGGAACGTGTGCGGGTTCGCAAGGAGTGAGCGCAAGCGGTTGAAAATAGTGGACCAAGTAGAACAAAGCGATCTAGATGTAGTGGGGATCCAAGAGACGTGGAAATTGAAGGATGGGGACGTGGTAAGCAAACTAGGGAAATACCGATGGGTAGGGAAGGCAAGAAAGGGCTTAGACCCGAAGAAAAGGGGGGAGGGGGGAGTCGGATTCCTGGTCAAGGAACACTTGTTTGACGTGGTGGAAGTAGTGGTGAAAACGGAGTTCGAGGGAAGCCTATGGCTAAAGATACCTGGGGAGCGGGGAGAGAAATGTTTGTTTCTAGGGCACGTATACGTCCCACCTTCGTCGAAGAAAGTCGCAAGCAAGGCGCAGGAGAATATCGGACAAATTGGGGAAATGTCCAGAGGTTCAGAAAGAAGGGAGAAGTTGTCATAGTGGGGCGATTTCAACTCCAGAGTAGGGAAAGCTTCCAGTAGAGGACAGCGATCGGGCAGCACGGAGAAGACAAAGTGAATGACAACGGAGTGAGGATGGCTTGCACTCTTGGGAAGCAACGAGCTGATGGTGTTGCAAGGAAGGAGGGAATGCGATAAGCCGGAGTTCACCAGGCAAAGGGTAGTTTGCAACGAATACTCGATCGTCGACTACATCCTGGTAGATAGGGGGAGCACACAGATCCCAGAGCTGCACGTAAGTGCGATAGATATCGGGTCGACCGACCACTTCCTCACATGGGCAAACATCGACCGATCTAGAAAGATGGAGAGTAACAAACAGAGGAAAGTGTTCCGGTGGAAAGTATTATAGCGTTTGGGAGACGAGGGGACACGCGATGAATTCCAGAAGGGATTGGCTGGTAGTGTAGAACCCTTCAGGAAACTGCTGAGAAGCGTCGAAGACGAACAGGTAGACGTACAAGAAGCAGGGGACAGGGTGATCGAAGGGTGGGAGTCCATAGTGAACACAACGGCAGAGAGAGTAGCGGGAAAGAAGGTGGTACGATGTGGGGTATCGGTTAAGTGGTGGGATGACGAGCTGAAAGAAGAAAATAGGGGAGCGTAGAGAAGTCTTCAAGCAGTACCTGAGTGAGGGGTCTGAGGAGAGTTGGGAAACGTACAGGGCCAATAGGAAACAGGTGAAGGGACTGGTGAAAAAGAAGTAAACGTGCATTTGGGAAAAAGTACAGCAGAAGGCCAACGGAGGCCTGGAGGGGAACGTCAAGCAGATGTGGGAAGGGATTAGTGGGACGGCAAAAAAGACCGCGCAAGGGGGGGATATAGGGGAGGCAACTTTGCGAGGTGTGAATGGTGGACTAGTCAGCAGTGGGGAGGGAAAAAGGGAAGTTCTAGCGGGACACTACAAGAGACTTGGATGCCTTCGGAGAATGAAGCTTTTGATCAAGTGTTTAAGGAGGAGGTGGACGCATGGGCCCAGAAAGAAGAAGAGACATCGAAGGCAGACGTTGGGAACGTAGAACTAGCAAAGAAGTTCACTGAGGACGAGGTTGAGGCGTGTGTGAACAAGCTGCAGTGCCACAAAAGCAGCAGGGGCGGATGGGATAGTCAACGAGTTAATGAAGTTTGGGGGGAAGGGGATGATCCAATTGATGGTACTGCTGTTCAACTGGGTGTGGAAAAAAGAGTATGCGCCAAGTATATGGAGGGAAGGAGTGGTTGTGAACTTGTTCAAGAAAGGAGGCAGACTGACCCAGGAAACTACAGGGGGATCACACTGTTGATTGAACACAGTAGGAAAAAGTGTTCTGTAAGCTGCTGGACGATAGGATAGTGGGAGTATTGGAGAAGGAACATAGCATTAGTGAGGGCCAGGCAGGTTTCCGAAAGAAGAGGGGGTGCGTAGACCACGCATTCACGGTAGGGAGAATTGGGGGATCCAATCCCGTGGGCAAATAAAAAGAGGGGTAGACAACCCACGGAATGGGTCAAGGTTGTAGAGGACGTATGGAAAGGGGTTCGACATCGACGAAGATGAAACGCTGGAAACGGAGGGTCTACGGTTCAAGGAGAAGATATCAGTTGCTTGTGCCGAGAGAGAAGAACAGAATCTAAGGAAAGAAACCGAGGATAAGGAGGATCTAAAAGTGTACGGAATGTTGAAAGAAGGAATAGGGTTCAAGGACTACCTACATGGACCAATGGATGCAGGGACGAAGCATAAAATCAAGTTCAGGACCGGGGACACAGACCTTCGAGAACGTCGACGAAGACATAGGACGGTAGACGACGAAGACGACAAGTTCAAATGTGATTGCGGCTTCGAATGCGAAGACCGTGTTCATGTAGTCGCGGAATGTCCGTGGTACGAAGAGGAGAGGGAAGTGTACATGACTGAGCTGGGAAAAATAGAAGGGAGGTACAGGGAGATGTTTGAGGCATGGAATAGAGAGGAGAGGACGGTAGCTGTACTGGGGAGTAGGAAGTGGTTTGAAAAGGCGGGAAGGGATATCGTTAGGATAGACAAACTAGGGAAGACATTTTTGAGCCACCTTTGGCAAAGTAGGAAGGGACGATTGGCCATCGGTGATCGGTCCTGTGGGAACAATGCTCCGTCCTCTCGAGGACGCGTGGTCAATGGTCTAACCGCTAAGGCATGCAAAACATAAGAGTACGCCCCCCCCCCCCCCCCCCGCCCCACCAACGCACGGGCCTCTTATGTTGATATCGAACGCGGCAAACGGGTGACAACCGAAAGCACTTTAACCTCCACCCAACGAAAATTCCTGAAAACTTCCTGAATAATGCCCCCCCCGGATAGGAGAGAGGAAGCTAGGCCTCCGGGTTCG